CTTCAGTATGGTTTTTGTTTCTGTCTTCGTAAGACGTATCCATTTGATACTAAATTATTCATGACCTCAAGTCTTTTTGTTCTTTACTTAGCACTATTTGGGGGCAAAACTGGGCTCTTGGGGGCCAAAAAAATGAGTTCAACCAACAGGAAACCCAGAATCCACAACTTTAATGGGCAGGTGGTAAATGACTCCCCCAGAAAAGTTATGGTTAGAAATTGTGTGTTTTAAACCCATTTTTCAAGATTTTGGGAACACATGGGGTGTGGGTGCACAGTACACACACATTGGCGTGTGCCTAGTGGTGGCACCGTCAACCCTTATCCAGACCCTGGGTCCAGGGATTGAATTGTGACTGATGATTTTAAACCCAATCATGTGTCACATCACTCATTGATGTGAATGCTGCACAACATCACTTTGATATTGGGTGATAGCTTGTCAACACTACTCTGACACCCTCCTACTTCAGTTTATTGAAAGATTTCCCAGTGGGGAAGAGCAAGCCTCCAAGTCTGTATTTTCATTTCCTGGTCTGTATTTTTGCTCATCCTCCCTATTAGGGACCCAAAAATACGGACCATGATGGAGATGCTCTGCATCAAATTCAATTTGACTAAGTCAAAGCAGATTGAGGTTGGCTGAATAATTTAGCATTCCAGTCTTCTGAAATTCTTGAAGCTCACAGAAACATGTAAGTTTAATACAAAATCCAATCAACCCAAAGTTAGAGAAAACCTGTATTTCCTTTCAATAAAGGGGCTTAGAGAAATGACTCCCATTTTTTATCCAACAACTGTTGGCGGAAGTCTGTTGGAGAGGATGAGGTACAGCTACTTCATCAACTAGAAGGCTTCCCTTCCGGTGGATGAGGAAGCTATACCGCATTGACCAGAAGGTAGAGATTGTTTGTCAGTACCCGGCGCTAGGTACGCAGGTACCGCCCGCACCCTCCAGGCGGTGCCAGGTGCCTGTCTTTGGGCAAGAAAACAGGAAGTACCTGGGTACCGCCCCCATGCTGACTCTTGACCCAAAGGGTTTCCTTCTGGTTGATGAGGTACATGTACCTCATTGATTGGAAGGGTTTCCTTCTGGCTGATGAGGTGTACCTCATTGATTGGAAAGGCTTCTTTCCAGTTGATGAAATGTACCTCATTGATTGGAAAGGTTTCCCTCCGGTTGATGAGGTGTACCTCATTGATTGGGAGGGTTTCCTTCCAGTTGATGAGGTACATGTACCTCATTGATTGGAAGGGTTTCCTTCCAATTGGCAAGGTAATGGGAAGGGTTTCCTTCTGATCAACAAGGTACATCCTCATTGACCGGAAGGAAGCCCTTTTGGTCAAGAGTCAATGTGGGGATGGTTGGGTACCACCCATTTTTTTTGCCCAAAAACAGGCACCTGGCACCTTCTGGCAGGTGTGGGTGGTAAATGTCAAGTGGTGCTAGGTACTTAGCGGCCAGTACCAACAAGCAATTCCTAAAATGAAAACTGTTTCTTGAGTTTTGCATTTGAAATGTTTTTTTAATTAATTCTTACAGGCTTAATTGTCATTATTTTTGGCATTTTAAATTCATTCTCTACAGTTTGAGATGTTTGAAAACTGATGGTTATATCCATAAATAGCTCGGACTGATGGGTTTGATTTCTTTAGTATCCAGAGGTCTTAAATAATCTAAATACAAAATGATAAACATGTAGGAGTGATGTCAATGTATAATGAATAATGAGGATGGCAACATTAATATTCAATAATCAGGAGAAATGAGTGACATGATTGTGAAGAAAAAAGGGAATGAGAGTTAGCTCAAGTGAAATTAAAACAATGTTTGTCTACAAATTACGATACTGTATCCTAAAAAAACCATGTCTTAACCTTGGCTATAATTTAGTTCAGAAAAAAAAATTGGCAATGAGGTGGAGATACAAAAATCAGCTATTCTTTGGTTAGAATTGTTGGAATATGCTTATACCATGTATGTAGTATGCTTCTACCATAACACAAACAACCATGTATTTAGTCTACACTTGGTTGTCTCTGGAGTTTTCACCCTAGTGAATCAGAACCATATTTTTCCTTCACTCAGAAGTGTCACAAGACTTTCAGTTATTCATCCCCTTGTCTCGTCCAACAGGTTATGAGACCCATTGTCGCTCCGCTCCTCCAAAAATTTCATTCGATCAATTTTTTTTTTGGCAGACAAATCAATCTCCTCTTGAAGAATCCACGGTCAATATGCCTGCGTGAACAACTCAAAACCCTTTGGCCTTAATCGGAAACGTTCCTACTCTCAATGGGAACTTGGTCTCTTTCCCGGCCTGGCGTACTCGTTTGGAAGAACTCTTCACAACTCAAGGCGTACACAATATTGTTACCTGGAAGCTCGCTTGCCTGGAAACCGATTACAAGGATGAAGATACCAAGGCAATAACTAAATGTTCTCAGCGGGTCTACTACACTGAGGAACCTGCATCCGACTGGGACACCTTGTCCGAAGTGGCCCGAGCAACTCTCAAGATGACGTTGTCTGTTGATCTAGCCATGCGATATAAAGAAACCAAGCCTGTCAGCACGCTCTTCAAAACGATCTGTGATGCATATGAGAAGAACACCCGTGCGAGGCAAATGATGTTGCAGGATGAATTCTGGTGCGCTCGCCATGATCCAAATCAACCGATTTCCAAGTGGATCACAAAGATTTGAATGGCAGATTCCGATCTCAAATCAGCTAAACTGACCCCTGCAGATCAGCAAGTATGTGACCGTTTGCTTTGTGGATTGGACAACACGTGGAAACCCATTTGCGATCACTTAGTCTACTCACCAAGCGAGATCTCCCTTGACGACACTATCGCGGCACTGGAGGCGCACGAAGTCTCTAAGCAAGTCTTGTTCAATGATGTTCCAGAATCATATGCGGTGTGGTAAATAATACTGTGTTTCTGCGCAGAAAATATAAAAGAGTTGCGAAGAAGAAAAAGACTCCCGGTTTCTGGTTGTGCGGTGAGATCAGACATCACTTGTTGGTGTGTCCGAATGTTCCGCTCAAGAATAAAATGAAGGCAAAGGCTAACTTAGTCGAGGCTCGAGCTGGCGCTACATCAGCGGTACCCCTTGGAAACGGCGGCCCAAGTGATGACAAAGAAGAAGATGATTTTGACCCGCAAATCGATGTCTATTGGGGATGAAAACTGAAGTAGGAGAACATTTATATTCGTAGGAAGGGCAACTCCGGCACGACCTGAAGGCTAATTCCTCCTGGTGGTTTGGCGTAAACTTGTTATCATGACACCTCCCTGTTCCTTATCTCCAGAGGATCTCTGGCCCGATTTTATTTTTAATTTCTGTCCCCCATAAGTGATAATTATACCAGTAAATCAAGTAGTCTCTAATTATCTCAATTACTTTAGTTATGGTCTTCAGCAATGGGGTGTGTTGGAATATGCTTATACCATGTATGTAGTATGCTTCTACCATAACACAAACAACCATGTATATAGTCTACACTTGGTTGTCTCTGGAGTTTTCCCCCTAGTGAATCAGAACCATATTTTTCCTTCACTCAGAAGTGTCACAAGAGTTTCAGTCTGTGAACTTCAGTTCTTCATCCCCTTGTCTCGTCCAACAAGAATCATCCAAGGTGAAAATGATGGTTTTTGTTTCTTTCTACCAGTCTCAAGTAGGGATGTGAAGTGCCTTTAAGACAGGTGGACAGAGGTCTACACCACCACTCAATTTCTTTTTCCAGTTGACATTGGCCGGCTGACATGTTTATGCACAGAACAGCAATGACCTATCTGCCCTGACTTTCACTGGGAAGACAGGTTTCTGCCAAGGATTGGTAAGAACTGTCCAATCAAAAGGGAGGGCCAACTCTGCCAACATGCTAAGTTGATAGATTTGGTCCAACCACGGGGCAAGACACCCAATCTGTTCATCCAGCCAGGTTGTTGGTAGGTTGACACCTTGTCAAGCCAACCAATGATCACATACCTCACTGCACTTTTATGTGAAGTGCAATGTGCCTCTTTCCGATTCAGGAAGAGGCTACATAGATTAAAATGATACAAAAAAACTTAGTGAAAAATAAGCTTAGGAAAAAAATAATCCCATCAGAAAAGAACTTCCCCAAATGGTTGGTAGAGTTGAGATCAGCTTGAACTTAATGCTGGATTAGGGTGAGTCAGAAAATTGATTTAGTGTAGCTGGTAATGTGTGGTCTCAGGGATGTGAGCACTGATTCCGCCAGGAAAGCCAAAAGGCATGACAAATGGTTGGGCATAGATGTTGCTGTTGGTTCAAGCCCTGCAGAAGGTCAGCTTTTGTGTTGATGTCATTCAAGATACCCAACCACGGCCTTGATGTAAGGCCTGAATTGGGAGCTATCCCAACTGTGGGCACAAATGCTGGGCTCACATTGGAGTGTTGGCCCAATTTCAGCTATGATTACTCCCACACAGATACACACCAAGATATCTGGGTGGTATCAGCAAGGTTGGCTTGATGTTGGATCCCACAGCATCTAGCGGTCTGTGGAAATCCGTGGTTTAGTTGGCACAGGTCAGACATAATAGTCAATTATGGAATAGGCACCACAAAGTATGATAAACGATTTGACATACAATCATGAACCAAGTTTTCTGAGTGGACACCAGCAGTGCACCATGCCATATGACATGTTTGACTACCTCATCTATTATTATTACCGCATTCTATTGATCTCTATGGCATGTGTAAAAGGACAGCTTTTGTGATAAGAAAAAGGAAACCTGGGTGGGTTGTTTACTAATACAACTTAGGAGAAATCATTTCTCGTGCCCACTGTACTCCTTAGACTTTTGATATTCAATTCTTCATTGTGGAGGATTGATTTCTCTTATAAACACAATGTGGTTTTAAGCAAAAGGCCACTGATTCTCAAAGGGCTGCATGAATTGACTTGTGCCTTTTTTGGCATGAATAAAACATATAAAGACTCAGTAGATTTTGAGAGGATTCTTTTTACGTGAAAATGTTGCTAGCACTATCTTTATGTACACAAGCATCTTTGGTAAGTTTACATCTGATAGATAATCTCATCAGGCTTTTTGGAGTTTGATTTAGTTAAGATATAGATATAGATACGTCATGGATCTAAGAGTGTGTGAACTTGGGTTTACGTTTTTCAACAAATGCTTTCATGCCCTCTTTTTGATCATTCTATAGAGTGAAAACCCTCATCAGTATAACATAAAATTTTGTACTTACATGAGGAAAATAAAGAATAGCAGAAATCCAAACTCAACTGTGCCAAACAACAAATGGAATAATCTTTTCTCAAATTCCAATCCCTGGCTCAAAGGCAATTCATACGCTAGAAAAGGAGCACACAGAATATTTCAGTCAGACAGAAGAATGAGAACAAAATGTGTTGAAAGAACAAGTACCTAAATTGACAGCTTCTTTTGCTGCCTTGGTGGCCAATTTTGGTTTGGTTGAGATTGTATCTGCCAAAGCTAGAGACTCTTTGAGCAATTCTTCATGACCCCCATCAACGACTCTTTCAATTTAATAATCACAAAAAACCAATTAAAGAATAGATTCAGTTTGCGGTTTTCATCTTTTGTTCTTAATTGTTTGTAAATTGATGGCAAACCTAGATATTAAACCCCACTCATAAGCTTGTTGGGCGCTAAAGGTTTTCCCGGTGAGAATGTATTCCATCGCTTTTGATTTCCCAATCGCCTTAACCAGTCTTTGAGTTCCTCCTGCTCCAGGGATCACACCTAACTAGCTTTTATTAGTGAGTAAATCATGTTTCGGTATCAGAAGCGAATCAATTACGCCAGATCGTTATTTTTTGTTCCTAATAGATCTTTTCTACTTGCATTAATCTCTGGTTGACCGAACTTGGCGTCTTTTGAAGCTAAAATTATATCACACCTGAAGCACGAAAGATTCGACAAAGATGATCAATAGACACAGTTATCAACAATGAGAACATGAAGCTTGAGAGGGATTGGGCCAAAACTCACATCATCGCCAGTTCACAACCCCCACCGAGCGCATAACCACTCACGGCAGCAACGATCGGGACCCTAAATGAGCTGATTTTCTCCGACCAGAACTTGAGGAAGTCAGCATCATAAACCTCGGCCAAGGAGCGCTCAGCCATCTCGGTGATGTCGGCCCCGGCTGCAAACGATTTTTCAGATCCGGTGAGGACGAGACATTTAACCGAAGAGGAGGAGGAGTTGATCGAGCTCAAGAGATCGTTGATTTCAGTGAACAAAGGCGACGAGAGTGCGTTGAGTGCTTTCGGTCGGTTGAGAGTCAAGAGACCAACTGCGGGTGATGGGTTTGAATAGATTATGTTCTGGTAGCTCGGGGTTTGACTAGATTGGAAGCGTCTGGCAAGGGTGAGTGAACGAGGAGACAAAAATGAAGCGGTTCGTCGGATGGTCATCATCATCATCGATCGTCTGAGGCTGATAAGAATCAGGATGTGTTTTCGATCGAGTTTATGAGGTCAATGTCAACTTCTTGTTGATTGTCTCGAGCCGGTTGGAATGGTAATTTAATTTGGTCAACAACTTCAGCCATCCCCAATCTCCCTACGAGTACGATGACGTCACTCGATCACGGCTCCACATCCTGACTCACCCGTCACTATCGCCATGTATCTCATGGATAACGATAGACAAATTTAAAGGTCAAAACTTGATTCCCTGTCTCTGCTGTACGATTTCCCTTTTCTAGCCTAGTTTTCTCAAGAGCCTGTATTTACAGCTAGGTTATCCTGAGATTCATAGTGAGCAATGCCATTGGCCAAATTTCACTCAAAAAAAGGTCAAATCACCAGGGTGAAAACTCACATCATTATAAGCTCTTCTCCAGAAGATGTGAATTTTTCATTAGCTGCTAACAAGCTGGAAACTTTAATATTTAATTATTAAAACCGTCATCAAAATTGTCTCTAAAACACATAAATACAGAACTTCATTTTTTGGGGGAGGGGGGGGGGGGTGGAAGCGTGGACCTTCATCAGACGTTACTTTCAACTTATTTGAGTAGCTACATTAATACTGCAATATGATGGAAAGATGGAAAGAAGTATTTCAGATCAGATCAAACAACTAAATAATATTATACACAAATCAACCACTCATTCAGCAAATCAAAACGCTACAAGATGGACAAGGAGACGAGAGTAAACATTATTCGGTATTTAACAAGTTTTTTTTTCTTTCTTTTTTTGTGTTTTTGCAAGAGTCGAAGATCGGACTGTTTTCCAGCCAGGCTAAAAATTACATAGATCATACAGAGACAGCAGGAAATTTCTAAAATCTTTTTTATAGATCGTAGTACAGATGATCGATAAGAGGTGATTCTTTACTTGATTATTGGTACATATTAATTTATACTTTTTTAAACTCTTTTCACTTTGAAATATAAGTTTTCTTAAAGCTCAAAGCTTGATCTTCGGGAGCCCAAAATCTCGCGACGTCGCAAGACAGCTTCCTCTAAGCTCTGCAGCATCTTGACGGTTTCCTCAAAGCTAACACACGCGTCCCTGTGAGTCGAAAAACCAGAGGAATGTTAGGAACTATTCTAAGCAAAGCATGATTGGGGAACTTATGAAACTTACGTGATTGAGACTCCATACTTTAACCCGATGGGGCCTTCCTTCGGAATGTCCTGGCGACCTTCGTGGATATTGGATTCGATCATCACTCCACTAATCGCACCCTCGTCGCTGCCGTTCGACAGTTGCTCACAGATCGATTTGATTACCTTGGGTTGATTTCTGTAATCCTTGGAGGCTGTAATATTTTGAAGGGATGGTCATTAGATATGTATCCTTGAGTTTTCATCTTCACGGTCAGAGAAAATGGGCCCTCCAACTCACAATTTCCATGAGAACAGTCGATCATGAGCGAAGGATGGAAGGTGGGCTGCATCTTCATCAGACTCGATCGAGTCTCGCCAACACTGACCGGGTCGAAGTTTGTTCCCTTAGATCCCCCACGTAGGATGACGTGCACGTTATTATTTCCGCGGCTTCGGACGATGCTTGCCCGTCCGTGTGGACCGACGCCCATGAATGCATGGCTCGCACGCGCCGATTGCATCGCGTCCATCGCCACCTTCACTCCCCCGTCTGTGCCGTTCTTGAATCCGACCGGATGGCCGGTTGCCGAAGTAAGCTCACGATGAAGCTGACTTTCCGTCGTGCGGGCACCAATCGCTCCCCAAGAAATCAAGTCTGAGAGGTATTGGGGACTACCACCCGAATCGTTGTTAATAAGAAAAGACCAGTCAGTTCCGAAGAGAGATAGTTGAAAGGAAGAAAGAATAATTGAATTGAATTTGAGCTTAACCTGATAGTGTCGAGCAACTCGGTCGCCACCGGCAAGCCCATATGGGTGATCTCGGCCATTAACTTTCTAGCAGTGCGGATACCGCGTTCAATCTGAAAGCTACCATCCAAATCAGGATCGTTGATCAATCCCTTCCAACCAACAGTAGTTCGTGGTTTCTCGAAGTACTGTTTTTTGGCAAACGGATCATTGGGGTATCAGATTACCGAAATAGCTACTTTTTACAAATATACTCAGTAGTCAGTTTTAAGGGCTTACGGTTCTCATGACGAGTATCAAGCTAGGAAACTGGCTTTCGACAGCCTTCAATTCGCGAGCGTAATGAAGCGCCGCTTCAACGTCTGTTTATGAATATAAACTGATTCAGTACATAAGAGGCCACAAGAAACACAATTGGACGAAGGTATGCTCAACTGTGAATGGAACATGGCCCCACTACAACAATCAGTCTGTCGTCCTTTCCAGAAATCACCTCGGAAATTGCCTGGCGACTATGTAGGATTAACTTTTCTGCGCATTTGCTGATCTTGATTTCGGCCTTGACCTCTACGGGCGACACGAGATCGTCATACTTTTCATACAAAATGAGTAGAAGAAATCTCCTTGTCAATTCTGATGAAAATGTATACTCTGTTGATTGAAGGCAAGCAAGAGTGACGGAAGATCCAAAGCACTCACGCTTTCAACGACTAAACCGTTCACCTTACCTTCCCCAATAGATAAGGAGGTGGAGGTTGACCAGTTTGAAGCCTCATCCGTGTCCCGGTCGGCCTCATCATCTTCCTCATCTTCAGAATCAGTAGTGCGGAGCTCACTCTGATTAGTCTGACACGAGGACGGGATCGGATATTTTCGATCCGCTTTGGTTTCTTCTTCGATCAAAGGACTCAACCGCATGGAAGCGCTGAGAGCAAGGGACGGAACAGCTTGAGTGTTGGTCATGGTAGTCGGTAACAAGCAGGTTCAAAGGCTAATTTCTAATCTCAGGAGATAGGACGAAATACAGGCTGCTAAGCAAACGCGCAAGTTTAATTTGATTGATTGAGTGGTTGGTTGATTTGATTGAGTAGATAGGTGAAGGCGGAATTAGCTGGCTGATGCTGGGGGTTATCCATGGTTGGTGGAGTGGGTTTATATACTCCTGGATGGATAACACCTTGTTGTAAGGTTTGCCTCTCAAGAAGCCTACGATGAGGTAGGGTGTGTGTATGTGCCGACGGGAGCAAGCAGCCTAGCTGTGGCCGGGGAAACCTCCGAGTAACAAATGTCTTGGCGCCGATTCAGACGACTGATTGCCACGATCGTGCTTCTGTCCAGTTGTGAATAGTCCAGCTCATGTTGTCCCGAATCGTGAGCTTGGTTGAGGGATATCGATTCTGCTCGATCACGTACGCTGAGCCTCCTGCGGCCGATGGAAGCCTCTAGCGTGTTTTGCTCAGCCAACTCTGCATCTCTACACTTGTCCATTTCTGCTCAACCTCAAATGCCCGTGGTTGTTTGCCGGACAACCTTATCTTTCTCTCGAAGGCTTATTCTTCCGTTTTCTTCGAAAGCAGTTCTGCACCTCCGCCGAAGGGAGCTCACCCGCTGCTTGGGTTTCTCCGCATCGAACAGGAAGATCGGAAATCTCCAGTTGAAGAAGAAGACTAAGACCTTTCCAGCGACATGAGCGTTTTCCGTGGTATCATTCAATCCCAGCAAGCTCGTGGGGCAAGTCAGAAGTGCGATTCGTCACTCAAATCGGCCAGCCTCCACTTGCAATCGGATCGGATTCACAAACAGTCAGAGGGAGATCGTTGTGCCGCTGGTTTGGGTGTGGGTGGAATTCAATCGATCAACTTTGATGGTTAGAGTGGAGGAGTGAAGTGGTTGAAAAAACAAAGCTCTCAGCAAACGATGTGGCTCACTGCCGGCTTGGGATGTGCGCTCGAGGAAAGACATTTGTTTCGCTCGGCAAACCCCACAAGTGCGTCAAAATCAATCAAGGACCGACACCATTCACGGGTTTTCCGGTCTACCCAGATCGGTGGCTCCGGCGAGTGAAACCGTCGATTCCAGATCAGTACATCGATCCCGTAGGACAGCCGGGCAGAACCACGCCGCGGTCCACGTTTTCCACATCGCTTCCCCCGAGCTGTTTACCCAGCCTGCCCAGCCTGACACAGGCAGGAACCGTAGCGAGCAGCGCGGAGCTGTCCACGGAAATGAAGCCTGAGGCCTACACATGCCCTACACGGCTGTTGCGCGGATTTTCGTTTCGCTTGGCAGATTGCAGATCGGCTCACAAGGTTGACAAAATATCAACCTCCGAGCCTCAGTCCGCGCACAGACACCCGAGTTAACATAACTTGTCTGGGTCGGCTTGCCGACACTGCAAGTGGCCGACCAAACAACCACCGCTGCGTATAATGACAATATGCCGTCTAGAAGAGTTGACGGCCAGCACATCGGCGGAGAAGTATGACACCGGTGACTGAGACGCTGACAATAAGACAAAGAAACGGGGGCCCAACAGCCAATCACAACAAGCTTAACTTGTGGCGAGTGGCAGTCTGACCAGAGAGCCTAGGGTTACAAATAAAAAAGCTTGCCTCGGCAGGTAAATCAAGTCATGATTTGGAAGCTGTTTTTGTCTTCTTGAGACTTGTTAGTTTTCTGCCATCTTCTCAGTTGGTATGCCTATATTTTTTTTCCTATGTACTTCCACATAAATCTTTTTAAAAGAAAATGGAAGGGAAATGGAAGGGAAAGAGTTTTTCACATTTCATTGACATTACGAAAGCATAAGCAAGTTTGTATTGCAATGTGATACATATGACGTTTTTGGCAGTAAGAAAAACGAAAAAATCAAAATCAGGTAGATCTTTCATCTATCAGAACCAAAAATAAAATAAAATAAAGAGTTGACGATGAATGAGGAGTGGGGCAAGCAAGTTTTCCACCACCAATTTACATGCAAGTCCCTCCTTTGGAATGCTGCTGTGCACCAGGCTACACACCTTCCTTCCAGCCCAAGATAGAGGGGTTTTAAATTATTCTCAGCAATTTCAGTCCTTTTTAGTCAGCTTCATGCTCACCGCCCAGGATTCATGTGATCAAAATGGTGATCCTTAAACCACCAAAATACGCTCACATTAGGATTGAAGGAAGTTTAAAAAAAACTTTGTATTTTTTGCTCCAATTCTTGCTAATTCTTTCTGTAACAAACCTGCTAAGTCTTTCTTGATTGAAGGCTTGAAGGAGCTTTGAATTTGGTTTTACAATGAGAAATAGATTGGTTTGAAGAGATAATAGTACACCAGGAAGCTGAAGAAAACACTGTATATTGAAGCCATGGATCCATGCAATACTATTTGAAGAGACTTCCAATACCTCATCTTCACTGTGGAATTTTTTTTACTTTGGAACTGGTCTGCAGGCACTGTTAAGGTTTATGGCTTTGATTGCGAACTGGCTACCATCACCTGTCTGGCTCTGAAGATCAAGACAAGGATATGATTGTAAATAAAACAGTCAGCTTTTTGGATTCAAACTTGGCATTTCATGAGCAGATTCATAAACTTGAACTAACCAGTATGGTAAATTTTCTCACATCACAACACCCAGATAATTTCAAATTAGCCCGCTGAGTGCATTTTCCTCCAGGTTGGGGTACAAAAGCTATGATTGAATGTGACAACCAGAAATAACAAGTCAATAGGACAGAGTCAGATTACATGTTAATATGATTGGATCTTATCAAATGAACATAAATACCTTCAATCAACTGTGTCTTGTCGCGGCCCTGCTCTACACCTGTCATACAATATTGGGCCCCACCCACCTTTTGACACACCTGATCAGTGCGCGGTTGGACCCCGTTGCCCGAACTCGATGGTGGAGGTGGCGGGCCTGATGCCACAATGTTTTCAACCATTGCCGTAAGTAGGAATAATACGATTGATTTGTAGAAATGCATCCTGGCGGTGTAAGAATGAGGTTTGCGAATCTCAATGACCAATTTAAAACTTAAAATGCCGTATTTTTCAAGCGGGATTCAGAAATGTTGAGGCGTACTTTGAAAATTGTTGAATTTTTTGGCAACAGATGAAGATCCAGTTCATGTTATAACCTGAAAGGTACCGAAGAGGGTGTCAACTCACAGTGCTGGTTTGATAAATCCCTCAGTCTTCATCGCATCCCCGGTGTCCCCCCTCCGAAGACCGAGGGACTTCATTGAGTTATGTATGTCGCAGTGTCACAGCAACCGAACTTCAAGCCAGCTCGAGGGGAGATGGACAAGAGTGAAGTCGGTGACAGAGCTCTGTAGCAAGTTGTTTTTGTGAAGTTTTTCAGGCCTTTCAATCAGATTTCCCTGCAAGATCTGACTTCAGTGAGTTCAAATCTGATTCTGTGGGGTCTACAGATAAGGACGGGACTCTACCGGCAAGTCTGTCGAGCTCATGGTGCTGTATAGGACGAGAATGGTGGGGTCTGCCTCAAAAAGCATAAATTTCTCATTGGCCCCTCAGCAATCCTGGAGGCCACTTAGTGACTTGACAAAGATATCTAACCGGAAGGTTTATTTGATTGGATAGTAATACTATTGGGACGTTTTGGTTGATGAGCAAAGAGGATGTGTGATCAGGGTTGGACTGTGTTGGTTCAAACGTTTAGTCCGTTTGCGGTATGATGTCCTCAAAACGTTTCCTGAATGTTGGACCCATTTCTGGTGTGCTCAATAAGCCATCCTATGACATCATGAATTTATGGGGAAAAAAGAAAGAAAGAAAAAATGGAGTCTACTGAGGCCAACCACCGGCATGAAGTTCTGGTACAATAAAGTGGTCAATTAGGCAGTGCATCTATCGATCGCTAAATCACAGCCTTGTTAAGTTTCAACCGTGGCACGATTCTTATGACCGTTTTCCTACCCGATTCCTACCCAGTTTCCCATTCTCACCTCTCTAAACATTAATTCGTAGTATTTATTATTATTTTGATCTCGCAGTTCTCGAGCAACACGATGTTGTCTAGTGATTCAAACGAGGTTGAATCGATCCTTTCCTGGACTTCTGAGGAGAGACGATCAGAGCCGGCCAGACCAGCCGACTCAACCGGCTCGTCTTGGCCTGATGACCAAGCTGAATCAATCCTAGATGTGGATGAGGGAAGCTCAACCTGGTCGGGCGTGGAACGATTTAGTGATGATGCCCAAGTGGAAAGTGACTTTCAGGAGCTCGTCGATCATGACTCCGTCTCGACAAAGTCCAGCGATAAGCAGCATGGGTCTCTTGAAAAAGAGTTCGTAGCTTGTTTAAACCCCTCTGCAAAAACTCTTATTGACCACCACAATAGATTGAACTGATGGTATACACTCCTGGTTCTGTCTATGTTTGGCCATGAAGGTCAGGCGCCGTAGCTACTTTAAAGAAAATCGAAGCTTTCGCTTTAGACATCTTACAACAAATCAATCGCTCCGGAAAGTACCAAACTCTTGGGGCATGCTCACCAGGCGGGACAATGAGAAGAAAATTACCCATAATAGTCTTACTGAAAGATCGATCATCGCCAAAGCACGTCATGATTTTCTTTTTGCTCTTTTTACCCATCCCTATTCTCTGCTAGCAATCATATGGCAGTAAACAATCTAATTAATTGGCGTGATGACCTTGAGGGAATCAGTGTTTTTGTCTTACTAACCTGGTCCTTCATACAAAAACAGTCCGGAGAAGCACCGTAAATTACGGTTTCCGAGAGATACTCGTAATCGGAGCAGTGGGTCTGGTATCCGAGAGCTATGTAGGTCTCAATACTCTTACAAATCTGATGTTCAGTTGGACTCCACCTTTGATCTCAGCTCCCTCTGATTCCCCTGGGCGATCAAATGCTTTACAGCCCAACTTCTCCGGGTCCTGGAGCTCTCGCACGATGCAATTTTGGGTAAAATGATCATGACCAAACGGTAAGCCAATCCACTCCTGGGCCAGCATCAGCAATCCTATAATCCAGCTACCCTGAAATGACTCAAAATAATTCTGGGTTGTGAAAGGGATGTGTTTTACAACGATGTGAATCTGTTCAAAAAGCAAGTTGTGGTTGACCGAGTAAGTTGCGAGTTTCTCGGTGAATGTTGGCTCATGGGGTCTCACAGTGTGTCTCCTCGGATGACTGGTGCAAAACAGCTGGTCGATGACTTGGCCGCCACTTTCGAGATCACGCGTGGACAACTTCACTTTGTAAAGATTTTATCACAATCTGTAAAATTTGGAACTCTTGAAGTTGTGGACATGGATGGCTGATTTCATCGCTTGAGCAGGCTGCCTCGCCCAAGGGTCTTTTTCAAGGTGACCTAGAATTGGTGATTATTGGAGATACTATTACATCGGGCCATGGACCACCGGCTCTGATTCCCCCGGAGGACACGATAAAAGAGTTGAAGCCAGGTCCCAACATCCGATTTATTTTGATAGTTGAAAAAGAGGTTAAGCAATCAAAAACCAGTATAATTTCAGAATAGTCATGGCGTACTTCCATTAACTGACAACAATCTAAAAACAACAGGGCAACATTTAACATGCTAGTCAACATGAATTTGACTACTGTTCCACGCCTTGGTCCTTCTCTTCTCATATGTGTATGTTGGAAAACTTTCTTTATTTCTTTCGGGAGCGATATATAATTTGTGCCTGCGAGGCCACTTCCTCAGGAGCATGTCAGTCAAGTTGAAAATTTCGTTGCTTGGATGAAGCACAAGGCCAGCACCACCAAACTGACTTTTGAATTTCAGTCCCGGCTCGTTCAGTAGCGCAGGTTACTGAAGCTTTTCAAATGAACAGGGAATCGGCTACCCAAGCCTCTCAACTCGGCAACTGGCGTCCAGATTATCTGAACATCAAGAGGTCGTCAAACGACGAGTGCCGATTCTAATCTTAGTGGACTGCGATCCACATGGTCTCGATATTGCCAAAGTGTACAAATTTGGTAGTCAGAGTATGTCTTTCCATCCAGGTCTTCGTGCCAAGCAGGCTGAGTGGATCGGAATAAGCTCTTCAGACTGGAATGAGTTTAGTTCCGTTTGCTTTGGTGGATATTGAAACTTCAGAAAGACATATTTACGAGGTTTGGTTTGGAATTTGTGAAATATAATAATACACAGGTTCAACATCGACTGCGACCTCATTTGTCCGATGACCCTTCATGATTATAAAAAGGCAGACAGTCTTCTGATGTCGGACGTCTTGCCAGAAAGCTGGAAGTGAGCACTTGAAACTTTCTCATTTCTCCATTTCTCTCTGTGCTACTTCGTGTGGCTACTAAAAATGTGAATGTGATCATTTTTTCCCCTCAAGGAATGAGGTTAGAAGGATGAAGGAGACTAGAAAAAAGTCGGAAATTCAAATCCTTTGCTCCCAAGCCGATCCTAAGGGTAAAGCGACTGACCACGAGATGACTTATCAAAATAGCAATCATCGCCTCTTCTTTTATCTCTCGAAAAAAATCAAGCGAGTCAGAATAGGGATTTGACTTGTGCAAAATAAGAAAAAACTTCACTTGTAAGTTGTGGCTAAGCGTTGACCAGTGTGTTTGTGAATCTCTTCCAATGTAATCGCAAGTTGTGCACTATTTAATCACCAAAAATTAAACAAATATCACTTTGAAAAGAAGTTGATCATCTTCAGTTGGAAGTTCATAGAAACGTTCGTAATCGTGATGACGTGTGCATCATGTTTGAAAGGTAGTTCAAACCTCGGTTTTCTCTTCTTCTTTTGGCAAGTTATGGAGAATATGGATGATTGTTTCATCTACACGATTTAGTGAGCAATTTCATTATTACAACCAACAACCAAGTTGTTTTACATTTAATCAAGCAAAGGTCTGATAGTCTAACAACATTGGGATTGAACAGGATGTTCCAGACATGAGAGAGGATGCAGAGACAACATTTTATTTTTTTTCAGAATTTTGATATGTTACGAGAAGGGCTGTCGGACAAGACGTAGCGCGTGTGACTGGACAATTGTTGCATTTATTCAAGAAAGAAATCCTCTGATCGCTGTCGAAAGTAACGACGAAAATGAAAATGAATGTGAAGAAGGTGACAAGTGAGTTAGAAATGTGCCAGACAAAAAACGATGGTAGGTTTGTGACGTGAATGGAATCAGATTTCAAAGAAGAACGTACCACCACCCACGCCATTCAGATCGATCAAGAAAGTGTCATGACCGAATGGCGAATGGAGTTCGAAATAAGTGACGGCCGGGGCCTGATGCGGAGGAAGGTTTGAGGAAGATGATCGGATAGCTTCGGCCATCTCCCTCTGCAAAGTGATTGGGAATAGGACATCGGTTTGGACACCAAGGATGAGGAATTCTTGGGTTGATCGAAATCTTTGGAAGGTCCGGGCGAGAGAAGCGACGATCTTATGGTCGCCAGCGGACGATAAACTGGTCACTCGACCAGCTTGATCACGCCCTGGCTGGTTGGGAAATGAAGACTCTTCGGGTGAGTTGACAGCTCCGGTTTGGTATCGCTCCAGCTCGTCCAAGCCTTCGACAGTCATGTCAAAAAGATCCATCGCCTTCCTTTAATTTTGTTCACATCATGGTTTAGTCGTCAGTCCGGATTACTCAGAGATTGATCCAGGAAAGATAAGAATGTAGAGACCGTGAAAATAGCTACTGTAACTTACGAGACATACAACAAACTGTTTGCGTCGTACTTGAGACAGAACTGTTCGCCTTGATGGTCCAGATAAGTTTCGATCAAAAAATCGGGAGATAACGTAGGTGGACTCAGAGAAGTTTGACCGTGTTGATTGAGTACTGAGCGCCGACTTCTGCCGAACCGTTGCTCCCACTCAGGCCCAGACCGATAGGTGATCGTGGCAATCTGACGAGCCAATTTCATACCAACGTGAGGTGGAGCCGAGTCGTAGTAAAATCCGCCATTCCAATTCGGATCGGCCATAAGCACTGGGGGGATTCATGTCGAGCGTTTGTTACATGTTATTTGAACTGGAGCGGATCCATGGGCATCTCTTTTCTTTCTTTTTCTTGGAGAGAAAACTGATGATGGATTATTTCATGGTTGTACTAACCTGAACGTTGGGCGTAACGAATGGCAATACTCGATGGCCCTGAACGTCCACATCCACTGATACTGACCACTTTGCCTACCCTTGACGGTTCTAGCCATGCAGCAGCGATGCTTTGCATACCTCCCATACTGCTACCCAGGCTGGCATACAGGCGATCAATTCCCAGATGATCTAACAGTTTGAATTGAGCTCTCACCATGTCAAAGATCGACACGATGGGGAAGTCGGTTGCATATCGACGACCGGTGAGTGGATTGGTTGAATGAGGGCCCGTCGAACCATAACAGGATCCTAATACGTTGGTACAAATCACAAAGTAACGGTCGAGGTCGATCGGATAGCTTGGGCCGTGGCCAATGGAATTTTCCCCACATTCCTGGATTTCCGATTTTCTTGGTGACTCTTCGCGTGACTACTAGCTGACAGACCGGTGTGGAGGAGGATCACGTTATCCTTATCGTCCGATAGCTTGCCCCAGACTTCGTAAGCCAAGTCGAAGCTCGGTAAGCTGTGGCCGTAATCGAGCTTGAAGGGGGTCGAGTGATGATAAATTTGATAACCGCTGACTAGCTTGGAGTAAGTCGGCTCAGGCCCATCTGGCGCACGTGGTGAGGGATGTTTGGAGTAGCTTCGGTATACAGTAACAGGAGAGTCCTTGGCATCGAGCTGGAACCGTTTCGCAGTGCTCTGAACGTGGATTGCCCTTCGAATCGGACTGCGTCCAGGGACGTATAGTCGGGAGTTGTTGGATTCAAAGAAGGATGGGGTCGATGGGCGGGAGACGGGCAGAGATAAGGCAGGACTAGGTAACCTTCTGAAACCAGCACACATTATTGATGGATTGGAGCATTTCCCAGAGAAACACACACCGCAGTGCTACAAACAGTCAACTGAAAGACTCCAGCTCCCAAGACGTCGGAGGACACACCCGATTGGACCGAAGGGCGAGAGTACTGGCTGGGACCTGTGCAACATAATCATCAACCATCAACAACTGCCGACTTGGGGGCAGCCATCATCGGTCCGGCCATACATTACAATTGCATACCTCGAGGCAATGCCGAATGATCTCTCCTGAACCTACAGCTTATTAACAATCCAGATGCACTGGCACTGCCGTCGGCTGAAAGATGCGAGGCTCATCTAATACTTTGTTCTACGAGGTGACATGCCAAGATTCGTCCCTGAGTTGTGATCTTGGCGCCATGGAGTTTACCAGGCAGCCAGGCTCCATGGATCTAAAGAGCCGATACAAAAACAAACAACCTGCCTAAGCAATTGCACTCACTGACCCAGTGGTCCTCAGCATCCAGAGTGCAAGGCCCTTAATCAACAGACCACCTGGTAAATTGCTGATGAGCGCAGATCGCAATGTGATGTTGCCCCCACTCAAAAAAAGCACTTGCTAGTCGCACCTCCGATGTCTCTGTGCCACGTAAAATGTGGGGTTGAGATAGCGCTCAGCCAAACAAATGTGTATGGGCAACAAGAAACAAAAAAAAGATGGGCTGTTCAAGGCTGGAATGATATAGACCCTCCTTCATGATTGGCAACTTACTCTAGAGAAGCAAAGATATGATGACAGAGAAGTTTCAATGTCCCAGATGCTCACATTCATCTGCGTGGATCTCAGGAAGGATGCCGGCGAAGACAGAATATCATAAAAGATGAGAATTATTTTTCATCATCTGTACCGTCTTCCCTATACGGTGAGCCATCCAGTTTGGGAAGCCGGCCGGAGAGACGCCCTAGGCTGCCCTAGGGCTTTCTTTTTTAGCCCGTCCGTTTAATTCACGGCGCTGGGCTCCCAGTCATGGGGGTTCAAGACGCGTGGTTTCGTGTGAGACTTGGAAGTCACCGTTATGAGTTGGTAATGAGGTTGCCATCAGACCCGCAATGATGTTTTGCTGTCTGCCCAATCCGGAAGCGCTTGACTGATCAGGAGACTTTTAGATAAACACACTACGAGCAAGAACATAGCCTCATGAGGCCTCATGGCTGTGCGCATGCAGGGAAGCTGGAAGATCCTCTTGGAATCGTCCATTTTTGTTAATATGTATCATGATCCACCGGACCGCGCCTCCGGGTGGCCTGTGCAAAGCCCCACAATCGTCATCATAGATAAGTCACTCTGGAAGGCGGCGTCCGGCTTCCGGGGCCGCACGTCTCCTCCGCGTCACCGCAAGGCGGGCTAGTCGGCTTCAACGTGGACGGGACTTATATGCCGATTGGATGGCGCAACCGATCCCAGCGATCTTCCTCCCGATCATCAGACATGGCCAGGAAATTGGGAGCTAAACGCGTGTTTCAGCGATGGGTAAATGATAAGGAGTGCTTATCCGAAACGCGCGGTCTATGTAGTAGACAAGCTTGCCCTCCGGGCATAGATAACAAGATAAGATTGAACGAAATCTTACCGACCGAAAGTCGGCTAAAACAGGCGAGTTGATGCTCTGCGGGACTGCTATTGTCTAATTTTCAGGATAGCTTGGCGGATGGGTTAAACCTTTTCTGGCCTTGCAAGTTGCAAGGAAGTTTATTACTCCTCAATACCGACTTTGCCACGAGGAAAGAAAGCTGCTTGCCTAATTCTGACCATAGTATGCTTGTGTCTTTTAATTTTTTAAGGCTCTCTGTCGAAGTCCATCGAACTTTGAAAATAAGGGTACGTATCAAACAAGACACGCTTCAACATCATGAACCAGTTCTTCCTACAACACGAAGTCCACCCACGTTTTTCGTCCATCCGTCACCAGGAAATTCGCCACCGGTCGTTTTTAACCACCGTCCATAACTTCAACCTACAGGAGTGCATACAGACACTGGTAATTTAGATGGTGCGTTTCAGACTGCGCTCCCCTCCTTCTGATGCACGTTTTGAACCTATTCACTACAGCGAAAGCTCTACCACGCTGAAATCCCGGCGCGGCGCGATGCCATAAAAAAAGGTGTCCACTCGGCTACCTAATCCCGGCGGGGTCATCGTTGCAGATCCAGATTGACTATGCAGTTTAGGAAGTTTGCTTGCTTGAGGAATCAGAGCGTAAATATGTATCTGTTAGAACGACCTCGTACACTCTGTATTCCAACTTGGCTCGCTGCCACAGCAATGCCAAGTCTACATATGCAAACGTTTCGTGATGGGTGAACGTTTGCAGCGGACTGGCCGAAACATATAAAACTCAGCAAGTGGTGTCGGTGGTTGCTGCTTCCTCACCCAACAATTCCTTCGCACAATTCTCCTACTCACTATAGCGTGACCATCAATGCTAGGGCGACTCTGGTCGATTTACTTCGTTGTTGCTCACTTCACCAACGCCCGAACGACTGGCTTCCCAGCCACTTGTTCAAGCGACTGGTCAGTGGACCGTAGAGAACATGGTATTTTTTTTTCCCCAACTTTCAAATCGAAATTTGATTCCGAGATTCCAGATAAACTTTCGCCACGGTCGTCAACAGAAACTCCAGTCTCCAGAAGGCTGATACATTTCTGTCGCTTTATCAGTGGTTCGCTGCCCGAACGTAGAATCTGAGACTCCAATCAAATGCGCCCCTTCGACCTGCTCTGATTTCCCCAGTAAGCATTTTTCCTTTTCTACTTGAAAACATTTGCTGGACACAGCAGCTCGATTGACTTTTTCTTCCCTCTTCTTTATCTAATACTTAGCCTGCAGCAGCTGCGTCAATGTGGCCTCTCAAGAGCGGCGTGATAGAATGACTTGTCAAAAAGGTTATAACGTCATCGACACTGGTAGCTCGAGCTTCACCAGTCAGTCGATTCACATCTGTGGAAATCAATTGAAGCTTACCCTACGTCCATTTCCTCGGTCTCGAACAGTGTGCATCGATGAAGATGAGAGTGCTTTTGAATGCACTGGTGGTTGCGAAGGCACTTTAAGTAGGCTATCACTATGTTCCACTCCCCTCAGAGCCAAGGCTATGTTAACTGATATTTTCGCTGGTTCGTTTGGATTTTGCTCGGCTTTCAGCTTGCGACAGTTGCGCTTTCGATGTGAACCCATTTCACATGCAACAGCTCCAAAAAAGAGCCAATCCCATGGTGAATGGAATGGTTGGGGGTGCACCCGGTCGCGGGGGGTTTGGTCCGAGTGGTCTAGATTGGTGAAAGTTTTCTTGCCACCGACCACCCGTCAGCTGTACCAGTTGTTTTGTCCTCTATCATCCATATCATTTGTTGACTCGACTGGATAAGATCACATCTTTATTTGCTTTATGGATCACATGGCACCAAATTGGCATCTCCTTTGGCTCAAATCCTATAAACGTGGTTTTTCTCCTCATTTCTGTAGTTTAATTTCAATTGTGACCCAAGCCGCAGACAATTTAAGACACTGTTATGATATACCACCACATGCTCCTTATCACTGCAGACTTCGTCTCTAAAGCTTTGCCGGTTACATAACGACCCTCGGAAAGATTCACAAGCGAGCGCCATGTCTTTTAAAATTATTCCATTACATTTTTTTTTGGGGGGGAGGGGATCTTGATCGATCTCACCGTAGATTCTCCATCTCTTCAGCTAGATTTTTTTTGTTTGAATTACTGATCAAACGCACTTATAATTCTATAATATCAGTCTTCCTACCTTTTTCCGTTCTGTAAATTCCTCTTCAAAGAGACATCGGGGGGGGGGGGGGGGGCTATCGAAAATGGGGATGAGTGCACAACAACTATGTATGATCCTGGCTTGTGTACGTAAGCCAGAAAGAAGGGGGACAAAGCAAGAATGAACCTGGAAAATCAAATTAGGACTAAGTAAGAACAAAGATCCAAAATAATAAAAAAGCAAAGAAGAGGGTTACAAGTAGGATAATACTCTGAAGTCTGAACTGGAGTTGCTTCTTTTGGGCTCACCTGCAGAAGTTCCTCTTATGTCTAACCTGTGGCACATCCATCCAGACACCAAGTTATTAGCAGCCTGGATACAGACATAGACACTTTGTATGTCCAAGTAGCAGAGCAGTCCCTAGTTCTAAACTGGACATCCATTTCCACAAAAACAATTCAGATGTAATCATGATGTTTCGAAAAATCTTGGAATCCCATTTCTTTGGGCATTTTCTCACCCTTTTTATCTGGAATACCTAGTCTGGCTCCCAGTATTAAATACCTGAGGGCCATATCCTTTGTGATCACTGCCAATTGAAACCCCACTTGAACTCTAAATAATACAACACTTGGGATTCCATCAAGCCTAAAAAGACCTTTTCAATCTATGGATAGTAGCAATCAAGTTTATGTTTCCCATTGGAAAAGTATCAAGATACCAGCTTTACTGAGGCCAGTTATCCAGGTGTGTTGTATAAGCTCAAAAGAAATTCTCAAAACTGATGTTTTCACAACAAATAAAGAACTGTGAATTTGAAGGTGGGTCAGGTACCACATGTTTATGGATACTTTTGAAAAATATGGTTTCAACCAAGCCCCTCTGTTGACATTGGAACATATCTTGGTTTGATGTATCTGATATTTGCCAGCAATGGGCTGCTGCACTACACACACACACTATGCTAAACAGCCCACTAACGTTAGCATAGCGGTCCTCAAAACAGTGGGCCAAACTTTTAGTTTTAGCATTCTGTTTGTCCCACTATGCCAGTTTACACGGCGCTACAGTACTTTTAGCAGCAAAAACAGCCTAGTGCAGCATAGTGGACCCCTTTTTTGGCCTGTGCGCATAGTGTTAGCGCAGTTGGGGTAGAATTCTGCTGCTCTATGCTAAATTTTAGCGGAATTCTGCTACATTACTCTGCACTAACACTATGGTTAGTGTAGCTGGCCCATTGTTGTATTTACCATACACTACTTTCCAGCATTTCTTCACCCTTCTGCAAGATTTCAACTTGATTCTCTTGCTCCCAAAATTCCAAAAAGTACCAAATTGCACTTGATATCCTCAACGGGTGGAGGCAAGAACCAATGCATCCCTTGTAATTGATTTAAGAGACCTTGTGAGATTATCAAAGCTCAAGCTATAGATTACAGTTTTCTTCTCTTCTTTTAAGTTTCAATTGATTTTGATTTTATTTTGCCATTTATAAGACTGTATGTATCTAGTCTGTTCTAGTGTGCCTCTTTATTTTCATCTCTCTTCCCTTCTGAATGACAAATGTTCTCTGAAGTTCATATGATCTGTGTCTGGTAGTAATCAATTTGCAATAGAACACAGCCAATAATGGAGGACTTCCCCTTCTAGATGCAGAATCACTTGATTAATCGACTTTCAAACCAAACAGTCATGCAAATTCCAGCTCTCACACTTCAGGGACAGATTGGCTTGTCCAATTTCTGCTTTGATAAAAGCACAGACAAAGAAGAAGAAAAAGTGGCATGTATGTGGAGGGTAGAGAAAAACATGAAGGGCAAAACAGTTGAGTAGACTTGTACAACATGGTGAATAAACTGAAGCTTTACATGAAACACTATGATGAGACAATGACAATGGATAAACTTACATTGCCACTTTGAGAGATAGGATATCAAATTCAAGAAAAAAACATAGGATTAATGGATGGGGGAAAGAGAAGCGGGAGAATTCTAAGGTACTGTCCAGGCAGTGGAGTGGTTCGAAGTTGCTTTAATTGCTTGTGTGGACGCCATGAGATTCCACTTACTCCATCTTCCGCTCGGGGGCAAGCAAAAGCCGTTTTTCAACCAAATGGATTGCGAGCATTCTTATTATAATGTCGCAAGTTTTGAATCTCCATTTTGTTTTCTCCAGAAGTTTATCTATCAGGTCCAAGTAGTAATGCAAAAAGAAAGAATTGATTAAAAAAATATGCCGGGCGAGATGAAATATATGAGAGTCTTGTAAGAGTATGAGTTTCTCACCAAAACGAAATCTGCTGAGATCTTTTGGACTTCAGCGAGGAATTGACAGTCACACGAGTTTCGCAGTCACTAGACCGCCTAGCAGTGAGAGAAGAGGATTCGCAACTGAACCTCAATTGAGGTAAGAATGTTGAAGGCACATGAAGGGATTCGTCGATACTGTCGATTTTCGAGCTCAAGGAGAGTTTCATCGTTCCGCCGTTGGATGCATCAGATGCTTTCAGTAAAGCTTCGAATTTATCCTTCTTTGATGAAGTCTCTTGTGGATCGTGTTGCTCGACTGGAGGTTTATTCCTCGACGACTGAGACAATCTTCTAGGAAATCCGTTAGACCTGGTACTTGCCCCGGCTGTAGATGGGCGAATGGGTAACACAATTTTCTTGAGTCGACATTCTCGTGGTGAGGGCGCAATAGATTTGAACAAGGGCAGAAGAGGGGTTGTTGGTTCAGATTTTTCTGCTTGGTTGATGAGATGTGTTTTCCCGCTCTGGATGTCGTCTCCGGAACCAACAAGGTTTTCAGAGTCGAGAGGAGCGACTCGTTCAATACGTTTTTGAGTAAAAGTGTCAGATCGTGGTGATGATTTGAGAAGTGTTCTATATTTGGGGCTTGGCTCTGCGGATGAGTTCATCGAATAATGAACTGAGGGTTCTTCGCAGGGCGATGGATGTCTTTTGAACATCAGTTCAGTTGAAACTGGTGGTTTGAAAATAGATTCGCCGTGAATGGCCATGATATCAAGCATCTCGCGCTGGTAAGGGGAGGGAGTGTGCATGTCCGCTGAGGTCTTCAGGGGTTTCTCAATGTCTATAAACCCCGAGTAGTCGCCTGGTGCGTATGTAATACTCTTACTACTTGATCGAGGCTTTCGGCCGAAGGATGGGAAAGGATTTGGCTGTGCGGAGGACAGAGATAGAGACGGGTACTTTTTCTTCGTGGAACAGAGTAATTCTAGTTGCTGGGTTGAAGAGCAGGTCTGCGAATGGATCCCAACAATCTGAGGATTGATCTGATTGGATTGAGTTTCGCGCAAATGACGTGGTGGCTCGCTCGGTAGACAAGGGTTGTGTCGCGTTTGGGAGTTGAAACTTTCGGGGGAGCGATAAACTGAGATAAAGCTGAATTGTGATCCACTTGAGGAATGAGAGCTCCGAGGCACTGTTGAAGAATAGGTGGCGCTGCCGATGTCAGGCCCTCCTGAAGAAGAAAATCGGTATCCGTAGCTAGATTGAGATTCATTAGAATTTCCGGGGTTGCAAGGGTCTTGGATGGTCTCATCTTCATGCGTGACTGCCGAGTGGTGATATTCTGAGAGCGATGGCCGCCAAGTTTGGAACCCTGAAGGGCAAGGCGGGGTATACGCCTGAGGGGAATGTAATCCTTCACTGTGCGGTTGTCGTGTTGAAGATGATGAGGCGGTAGTTAACGACCTGCTAGCGTCGGGGAGGCGGGTGTTGATGTTGTCATCTATAGGCTTTTTCCAGCCCGGAGTGGTAGTACAACTGACGATGGAAGGTTCCATGGATAACTTGGGCAAAAAAAACGCCGCCGAGAGCATCTCTGGGTTTTCATCTATGCCTTCATTAGAATTTGTGTCGCGAGTTGATTTAAGACATGATAATGACTGGGTGCGATATCGTGATAACTGATGATTGGACTGGGGAGGTGTAGGGGTCGATAGCTGGGCTCTGGGATATTTAAGCGGTATCCGGATTAATTTCGAAGGCGTTGGAGGCTTTGGTGGTCTCGTGGAATCGTCGGCTTGCGGGTCTGCAGTGTGTGTTTCGGATAGGAAATAGCGCGTGGCAAAACGTCAGTACATCACAATAATTAGACTCTGTGGGACGCTTAATATATGTAGCTGCTTGCCAGATTTTTTTCGCCGGGTGGGTTTGACCACCTGTGGGAGCTTCACTCGTCCAGTCCTTTGAACAATCGGTAAGGAAGCATTACTGAAATTTCGAGCTTGACCCGGGCCACGCTGAGAACATGACATTTCAGAGAAGATGGATGATGGTTTGGGTTGTTCGAATGAATAATACCTGGTGCTAGTACAGGAGGATGATATAAACTTGTTATGATGTAGAGCGCTATTTGATTCCAAAGTACTGGCGGTTGACGAAAGCGCAAGCCGACGTTTGCATGCCGAAGCCTCTAGCCAAACTGTTGCGAGTGGCTCGGCTCCTGGATTTTCTGAGATAAGTGCGGTTTGGTATGAATCCCATCTGCCAGAATCAAACGAAGGACTATCCCCGTTGCTGCTTGCTTGTGATCTTTGTTGGCGCGCGTTGAAACCTAAAAGACGGAAAATTGTAGACATATTGCATGAGTCTGGCGAGGCAGCAGGCAGGAGAATAGCTGGCTGATTGGTGCTGTGTATGTATGGTAACGTGGATTAAGCGAAGATGAAGAGATAGCTGATGTCTGGTCCTTTGTGTGTATCAAGCAAGCATACCGGAAGTGTGTTCACATGAGCACAGGCAGCAATCAAAAACAACTTTGGGAGGAAAGCAAAGAACACGTACCAAAAAGAGGGTTCATTCCCTTCGCAGCTGCTTGTGCCTCTGGTTTGACTCTGGCAGAGGGAACCGAACGAAACGAGCAAATCCGAGGCGTCTGAGGTTGTTCTTAAGGAGGGATTGTCACCCACGGAGGCACACCGGTTGGTCAACTTGCATCTTCGGTCACCCTGCCCAGCGTCTGTGGCTAGAAGTCTCCGAGAGACGGCACAGGTCATATGATTCCCTCCTTGCCTGACATAAATTACACTTCAAGTCTAGCACGCTCTGTATGTAGCACGTCGGCATTTGAATGCTGGCAGCTGGTTCATTGAGTGCTGGCCACTGGGAGAGAATTGAAAGACATTATTTATGAGCATCGATGTGAGGCGGTCGCTTTCCCATACTCACAAGAATCAAGACCAGGGCTCGGTTTAAACTTTTACGTACCAACATCTCTGCATGCTCGGAAAGAGGCGTGATCTGGCGTGATAGATCCCAGCGCAAAGAATGTTTCGTGTGAGAAGATGGACGATTTGCCGATACATCGCGCGCAAGTTCTTGCAAGTCCCATCATCCCATGAGGCCGGGTGAGTTCAGGCTGCCCGGCCTCTGAAGCTGGAGACCGAGTTGTCACCTGGGTGCCATGGCAGAAGCAGCTCCAGCTTGGGGATTCGGGGCCCGACTCCGGCCGGCCAACAAATGGAATTGATAAGCAAAGCCTATCCTGGTAAGACGTTTAGCCTAGAAGTCTACATAGGGTCCTCATAGAATCTCGATGCCAACCTGTAATATCAACCCTGCGGCTGCCACAAGCGGTATCATCCTGAGTTCCTTTCAATCGTCCCAATAGGGTACGAATTTCCCTTTTGGCTCGCCAGCAAACGGTAACGCTTCGGCCGCTTGGAGTGCTCACAAGCCACATTTCTTTGCCATTACCCCTACAATTTACAAATTTTCAAGTCATGGTGAAGGGTTGCCAGATGTTGCCAGGTGCCGTTATTCTCAGATAGAAGAAAGCTCGCACTCTTCAGTTGAGCTGACACTACCCATCCTGCCCCCCTCACCAATCCAAGTTTTACATAGTTAATTATAAAAACTCCATACGAACGAGTCACATTTGTCACCACGACAATCTTATCAAGCAGTTCTCTGTTCTTCAGCTGTTCGCTCCAAAATGCAGTTCGGCACGCCTACTCTTTTAATTCTGCTCACTGTGGCATCACAAATCTCTGCCCAACTTGTTCCCAAACGCAACGACTCCAATTGTAAGGCAGGCATGGCTCACTACTGTGTTACCAGAAAGCTCCCAGGTCGTGACGGGAAGAAGATAGTTGGAGGTACGTCTACACGAACCACTATCTGTAGATGGAAAGAAATCAAATAAAACGGGAGGGTCTCAACATCTGACTTTATTCCATGTCATTTTCTTTACCGTCAAAGTATACTCCCCCCTACAGCAGCCAACTAAAAACTGCCATCTTGTTATCAGCAACTCGAAGCGCTCTGAGAACTGCTGTGATCCATTCAAATTTAAAGTAGCTGTGAGTCACCGTAGCTAAGTTTGCATTACATTGCATTGCAGAGCTAACTCCTTGTTTCTTCATAGACCGGTGTTCCAGCTGCCTATGTGCCTCATGATCAAGCGACTGGTAGTTTTGTTACTTATGAATCCTACCAAACTGCCTGTTCGTGAATCCGATACCCGTGTAAATCACCTGTAAAGCCAGCCGGCCAGCCACTCCCCGGATGCTTACGCGGAAGCCTCCCGTGATTCCCAATTTTTGATGATGATTACTTGATTGCAAAAAAGCGATTGTGATAAATGTACAGTGGATCCTTCAATGCCAATTTCAACGCCATGAAACACTATCCATGGCCAGAAAATTTGTTGGCATGGCAGAATGCCGAACACAGAAACATGAAGGTGCCCCCTTTCACAGCTCGAAACTTGAAATGTTTTTCCCCTGCGACCCAAGTGCGTACTGCCTCTTGTAAGGACTCCGTCGAGTCCTTCACTGTCCGTCGGAATGGCACTAGAAAAGGGGCTCAATAGCTCCTAAGGAGATGATTCTAGTACCAAAGTGGGTTTAATTGCAATCTAGACAGGAGAGAAAGATCTCTCTGTTAGTATCTACAACTGATGGAAAGTGAGAAAAGGAATTGAGAAGAGAAAGGGTACTCACCTAGACAGGAGAGAAAGATCTCTGCTGTCTAGGTGAAGGGGAAGTGTGGGACTAAATACAAGGCTGAACTGGGCTTATGTAATCTAGTGACATGTTTGTGTAAGTCATGAGGAGCAGGGCTTACACCTCTAACTTAACTAAGTCCCTCCAATTGGAGGGACTTGGTTAGGTTAGGTGCTGCCTCCTCCTAAACCAAGTAAACACACACCTCCAGGGGTGCACTTAGAGAATTCTAGTAATGAGGGCAGCCAAGATCAATTTTTCATCACACGCCTGGCGCATAGCCATCCAGGTGGGCAAAGCAGATAGGCCATAAGTCGCACCCCCCCCCCCCTCAGACCGTCTGGTATCAATTCAGGAGAATGGATGGTATCAAAACAGTCCATTGGTCAAGCCCAAATGACCTCTGAGCAAGATTCTGAAAGATCTGTGGCAAGGCCTGCTCCACATGATTCAAATAGTGGAAGTGTGGCTAGTGGGTATCAGGGCATGGGAGGCAATGGACCAAATGAACCACAATAGAAGTGGACATGACTGACAAACCACGAGGAAAGAAGCCTGCTTAGGGTAATCACAGGAGTAGTGAGACAATGGTGTATCAGTCCTGTTTCCTTCCTCCTGCTCTCTCCCCCTTGGTCAAAAATCAGGATGTATGTACATACGTGCAATGGTGCAACAGATACAAGACATGTATTCAAATTGGATCGTATTGTGTTTATTTTGAGCCTGATACTGGTATCAGTATTTTCTTGGTTTGTGAAAAAATTTATTGTCTCGGATTTGGATTCATACCCTCACTAAAAGCAGCTTATACCTCACCAACATGAGGACAGTTTGGATCTGAACCCCTCTTAGAGACCATGTATGGCCCCATGACAGGAACAAGGGAACCCCACTATCCAATTTCAGCAGGCGGGGGTTTGGTTCCTTCTGTCAAGTGACTGTACATACACAAACCTTTAGTTAATGTCATGGTATTGTTATTTGTTGTTTCTAAGTCCCATTATGATTTTCCATCCACCAACCATTTCAACTCAAGTGGCAAACTCACTTCCCTGAGAAGATCCCAAGACTTGGAACTGGATGATGTGGTGAAAGTGTGTAATATGTATCTAAGGATGATAATCGGGCGGGCTCCAGCCCGACCAGCCTAACCCGAACCCGTTTACAAATCGGGCAGCCCGCGGGCCAATATAGAGAAGGGCTTCCGGGCTGTTAGCGGGCTTATGCGGGCTGCCCGCAGGCTTGGTCACTGAGAATTTGAGATTCTGCCGCTAGCACTTGCGGCGGCGGGGTTGCAGAGGGAGTAAGAACTGGGGTTGGTTCGGACCTTGGGATAAGCTAAGCTCTGGGGGGTCCTGGCGCTTGGTCAGGTCCAATTGGACCTGATCAAGCGCCAGGAGTCAGGACCCCCCACTACTGCACTGGCCCGACGGGCAGCCCGAGTAGACCCAACCTTTAATCGGGTCATCTCGGGCCGGGCCTAAGTAAAAAATTCCATGAAAAGCCTGGCCTGAACCCGGCCCAAACCCGGTCGGGTTCGGGCGGCCTGTTGGACACCCGGCCCAATTACCATCCTTAGAGCATCTCTAACGGAGCCGCTGTTGCGCGACCTTGGACCAACTTTGGCGGCCTGGAAGGCTTCTTTGGCCTCCAGCGGACCTGCTGAATGAGCCGCCAAAGTTTGCGGGGGTTGATCAAACCCGCCATAGGCTGCCAGCTTTGGCAGCTCTGGTCGAGCCACCATCACACACCTCCTCCCCTTTCAACACTTCCACAAAACACCAACAACCACAACAAGACCCACCATGACCAACTCCACAACTCTCCAGACACCAACACCCGCAACTTGAACGATCCACCTTGCTTGATTTCTTGAGTTTTACGTTTGATGAGCAAAAAAACCGTTGTCTGGAGCGAAGCAAGTAAGTCATCATCTTCCTCGATCCAATCCATGAGCTCAATCGGGTCCATTTTGAGGGGAATCGTAGTTCCGGAGGTATGGGTTTGGTGCTGGCACATCATCCCTGACATGATTTCCCAGATGGGAAATCTTGTAAATTTTAGGGAAATCCTGTAAAAAAAATTCAAGATTGGAGGACTTCCCGTCAACATCTGGGGGTCTCCCAGAGTCAGTTTAGAGCCTTGAAATTCAAATTTCTGTGCGAGAATCAAGAGTTTTTGGGTCTAGATTGACTTCTGCAAGGGTCCCAGATCCAATGGCAAGTCCTCCATTTTTCCAGATTTTTTAGATTTTTATGATTTTTCTAGATTTTTCCAGATTTTTTTTAGATTTTTTCAGATTTTTTCAGATTTTTCTAGATTTTTTAGATTTTTCCAATTTTTTCGGATTTTTCCAGAGTTTTTTTAGATTTTTCCATATTTTTTAGATTTTTCTAGATTTTTTGATTTTTCTAAAAAAAAATTATTTTTCCAAATTTTTGAGATTTTTTCAGATTTTTTAGATTTTTCCAATTTTTTTAAGATTTTTCTAATTTTTCCAGATTTTTTAGATTTTTTCAGATCTTTTCAGATTGTTTGGACTAATTTTTTTCAACTTTATAGATGTCTCTTACAAAAAATCTGGAAAAAATCTAAAAAATCTAAAAAATTTAGAAAAATCTAAAAAATCTAGACAAATCTAAAAAAACTGAAAAAAATCTAAAAAATTAGAAAACTCTAAAAAATCTGGAAAAATCTTTAATTTTTTTACAAGATTTCCCATCTGGGAAATCATGTCAGGGATGATGTGTGGGTCGGCCACAACAGATGCCGGGACCCAAGTTCCAACTCACCCCGGCTTGCTTTGGACAGTCCATTATTTGGACACTTGTGACAGAGCTGTGACAGTCTGGGACATGTGGTCGCAGGCTGCTAAAGGCAGCTCAATCCACCCCCAGACTGTTAGAGATGCTCTTATATGTATCTCCATTCAAAACATTGTTAATATTTTTGCAATTTCAAGGGAGTCCCAAGTTAAAGCAGGTTCTTTTTGAACTGCTGTACAGAAGATTGATATAGCCTATGTGGTCCAAGCAATGTTAAAAATCCACGAGTAGACCAAATGTCTAAGTCAGTTGCTGATCAACTGGCTTGTGTCTCAGGGTGGCAATGGGCCGGGCTCGGGCCCAAAAACCATGCCCAAACCCGCCCCGCCTGGGAATGTGGGGCGGGGCGGGTCGGGCTGCATTTTCACAAAGTGTGACCAAACCCGCCCCATCTTGGAGGTGGGTGGGCTCGGGGCGGGTCTTGGGCCTCCCCCAAAAATTGGGTTGATGGGAGTCGGACCTCAACTCACCGCTTGGGTTTGTTCAAAATTCATGTATTTTTCTCATCTGACCGTAGGGTATTGGCATGAAGACGACTTTGGTGCTGGATGGGTCCTCTGGTGTGCTTTTTTGTGAAGGAGTTGTGGCTGTTGGGTTTTGCGGAGCTGACTCAGATATGACTGAGATATCTTCATTGATTTTGAAGGGGGTCATAGAGGTATCTATAGTTTGTGCAGCCCGCTTTTTTGGATGTTTGGGAGGCATACTGATGTGATGTCCTACTATTAAAGTTGGAACTCTAGTCTCTAACTGCACTACTGAATCACTGAACACTGTGAGAAGGACAGTGACGGTGACCTTGGCCATTAGAAATGTACCGGCTAT